GTGTGTGGGCTACTTAATATTGAGGAAAAGCCCCAATCAGAGAGGCGAACGTTTGCAGCCCCGCCTCCGTTTTCAGATGTCTCCGTCTTTCCCCATCCACACTGAGACGGAGCAGCAGCGTTTCAGAATGAAAACGGCCTCTCCAGCGTTTTCAAAAAGCTCCGTTTTCGGCGCTCGAGAACTCCGGCGTAGTGTGGACGGATGGCGTAACCGTAGCAAAACTTATGCGTTTTCAAACTAAAACGCATTAGTGTAAACGGGGCCTTATTGTCATGCTTTTCCCAACATCCCCTCAATCCCGCTGCCGTAATTCTTCTATCTTTGGCCCCGTTTACACTGGTGCGTTTTAGTTTTAAAACGGCGTTTTAGAATGAAAATGATCCGCGTCCACACTCGCGTTTTACCCAGCGTTTCTGAACTGCTCTCCGTCCACACCAAAACGCTGAAAACGCACATCACGTGACCACACACACACACTTTGGCAATCGCTGGAGCCCATCTACCCAGATGAGAGCTCTGCTAGTCGGACTTCTCATCAAGCATCTCCCGCTGGATCTAATCTCACTATATTTATTAAACGTGATATTTCATTCATCTTGTTGTCTTTATCTAACGACATATTCCCTGACTTTGGTCATTGGAATCTATTACTTGTTCTCAGGTAACGTGTTTTGGCTGAGCGCAAAGATAAGTTAATGATTAATGTAAGCACGTAGCCTACATTCTGTATATTGACTGATCGCTTGCCTTTATTTCCTATAATGTATAAACTTATTGTATGTTATACTTTTATAATGGCCATTATCGATTATTAAAACTGATATTCAGCAAAAGAGAGGGTGTGTTTCGTATTTTCACTGAAATTGAAAGGAGGCAGTTGTTGTAGGCTCCGTTTTGTTATAAATATGCACACAGTGAAGATTACGCTCATGCAGCACGACGCCTCAACATTTCTGCTGTCTGTTTAGTTGTTAATATTAAAATAAAAATAGGCAGTTCCTTATATCAAGTTTACATTTTATTGTTGAGAAAGTGAAACAACGTAGCCAAGGTGATGTGAATGAAGTTATAAAGTACACGATTCCCTGTGAAGATTGACGCGTGTCCTAGGTATGTTTTCCATATCAAACTGAGAAGAAGAGATGCAGCCTTGATCAAACTTGCGATGTCTGAACTTACACGGAGAAGATTCAGGACTGAACTGTGTGTTAGGCTACTTAATATTGAGGAAAAGCCCCAATCAGAGAGGCGAATGTCTGCAGCCCCGCCTCCGTTTTCAGATGTCTCCGTCTTTCCCCATCCACACTGAGACGGGGCAGCTGCGTTTCAGAATGAAAACGGCCTCTCCAGCGTTTTCGAAACGCTCCGTTTTCGGCGCTCGAGAACTCCGGCGTAGTGTGGACGGATGGCGTAACCGTAGCAAAACTTATGCGTTTTCAAACTAAAACGCACTAGTGTAAACGGGGCCTTTATCTCTCACACCTTCTGTACCTCTCACCTTTCCAGCTCACACTTGCTCTCTTACTCCTCTTTTCTCTCTGTAATGGGGTTTGCTGCTGTTCAAGATCGAGGGGGGGCTTTGTGTCTCTGTGTCTGTATATCTGTGTGTGTGTATTTCTTTGAGTGTGTCTGTATATCTGTCTGTGTGTGTGTGTGTGTGTGTGTGTGTGTGTGTGTGTGTGTGTGTGTGTTTGTGTGTGTGTGTATCTGCGTGTATCTGTGTTTGCAGTTGTTTGTGTGTGTCTGTATGTGTGTATTTGTGTGCATGTGTGTATTCGAATGTGTGTGCTTTTGTGTATATCTGTTTGTGCGTTTGTGTATGTGTGTGTGTGTGTGTGTGTGTGTGTGTGTGTATATATATATATGTGTGTGTATTTCTGTGTGGGTGTATCTGTATGTTTTTGTGTGCATTTGTTTGTGTAGTGTATGTGTGTGTGTTTGTATATCTGTATGTCTGTGTGTATCTGTGTTTGCGCAGTTGTTTGTGTGTCTATATGTGTGTGTGTGTATCTGTATGTGTGTGTGTATTTCTGTGTTTGTATGTGTGTGCATTTGTATGCGTCTGTGTCTGTATCTGTGGATGTGCGTGCGTGTTTGTTTATTTGTATGTTTGTGTATGTGTGCGCGTGTGTGTATGTGTATATCTGTATGTTTGTGTGTGTCTGTATATTTGTTTATTTGTATGTTTGTGTGTGTGTGTCCTATGCCTGTGTGTGTATCTGTGTATGTTTGTGTGTGTGTAAGTGTGCTTGTGTATATCTGTATGTCTGTGTGTGTATTTACCTGTGTGTGTTTGTGTGTGTGTGTGTGTGTAAGTGTGCTTGTGTATATCTGTATCTCTGTGTGTGTATCTGACTTTGTGCATGTCTGTCTGTCTGTCTATCTCACTCTCTCTCTATGTCTGTGTGGGCACGATTGTTTGTCTAAAACTACACGTGTGTGTGTGTGTGTGTGTGTGTGTGTGTGTGTGTGTGTGTGTGTGTGTGTGTGTGTGTGTGTGTTTGGTCAACACTGAGCCCCGTCACTCTGGTCTGGCTGAGTCTAATTGCTGGTGTTGTGGTGCTGAAGTGATCCAGAGATCGGAGTGGAGCCGGTGGGGGAAATTGAACAAGCATCACCCGTCAGGAGAGCTTCCACTCAGAGCGCCTGTCAGCCTGGCCTGTTTACCTGCGACACAATTATCATCGGCCCCCAGGGAACCCTATGGAACAACACATCTGTCCTCTGGGGGACGATGAGGGGCCACGGGGGACGCGCGATGGTCGAATATTGCGCAGGGAGATCGCTGACTAAATCTGGTTAAGCATTGGAGGGAAATGAAGCGTGTAAAAATGTGTGAGAGGTTGCAATATGTTGCCAAAGAAACACACAGCTTTTAGGAGAGGTGCTGGAGGTAGGAAAAGCATTGGGGCAATTCATGAGGAATGTGCTTAAAGAGCCCCTATTATGGGTTTTTAAAAATAACCTTCCATGTAGTGTGTAAAAGCTAGTGACGTGAAATATCCAGCTAAGGCTTAAATCTGAGAGTGCACAGTGTTTAAAACTATTGATTCATTTATAAGAGTCGACTCATAGTGCTTCAAATGAACCATCTTGATAACGAGTCTTTAGTCATGGGGTGTGGATACAGAACCAAGCCCCACCCAATTATTGCGCACACAAATCTGGCAAAATTGAAACCCCGGCCCCGTCCACAAACACTGTAAAAAGAAAAAGAAGAACATTGTAGCAGATGCCGGTTGAATCATGTCATGAAGACGCTGTGCTCAGCTGAATATTATTGGAAGTTACTGCTAATTTCTCTACCCAAAGATGAAACCGAGAGGCGTCAGTGGTTAATTTTTGCAAAAAAATACCTCAGCATTATAGCCCCCGCCTTATGCTGCTGTTCCCGTCATTTTTCTGACGAGTGCGTCAGTAATCTACACGCTTACCATAAGGGATTCATTGGCCGCTTGTTAAAAAAAGATCACTGTGTACTGTAAAGTTCCTGTCAAGCTCTCACAAGGTTTCTCACAAACTGATTATTTCACTTTAATTTTATGTAGGCTAGATTATTATTTTATTTAACAAACCATCACAATCTCATGGCAATTCGTGTTTTGGCGCATATAGCGGACTTGTTTTTAAAGCGCATCACCTCAAATGTGATTCATTATTCTTGTTTATAAATAACCGACCAACAAAACATATATTAAAATTAAGATATTTATTTAATAAAAACTAATTTGTTTTATATATTTTTTCCATGAAAATATAAAAATTATATTTTTGTTTGTACCCCTTCGCTTCTCAAGAGGTGGATGATTTGTTTCGCTTTGTGAAAAAAAAAGGATTTAATAAATGTTTCATTGTGATTGTTGTATCACAAACCTCTGTTATACAACTGCAAATTTTTAATATGCCTTTATTTAAGTATAAGATTATACTTAATTATGTCTGATTTATGAGCCGTTTTCCTTAAGGGAACAAAAAATGTAGCCAAAACGTCAAAATATACTAATATGCTAACATGAATTTAAAAGACAAAAGGAAGATTAGACTTGATACCTTTTTGTTAGAGATGTAACGATTTATCTGACTCACGATTCAAGACATCAATACGATTCGATATCACAATTTAGTCTGCACATTTTTTGCTAAATAAGACATTTTCTGCCATAACTAAACTGCTATTTTACAAATATTAAAAATATAAAAATAATATATTAATAATGTAAACAAATAAAAATGACAGTATATTTTGCTAATTAAAAATTGAAAATTAAATATTTGCTAACATAAAAATGCTAGATATACATTATTTATTTACAATATTAACTTAAAACTTTCAATATATAAAGTTATGAATTGAAATTAGATAAAATATAATTACACAAAACATATCTTAAAAATTACTGATATTGCTTATTATACTTGTAGGGCTTTTTTAAAGATTTTAAGGTAGACACACGCTATGTAATGATCATGTATATAATTGGATTTAAATAGATTCAGAAAACGTCCCTAAGGTTGTTTGTGTTGAATGCGAGTTTGACCTTTCTTTGTGGGTGGTTTTTGTGGGTTCAGTCTGGAGCCGCTGACCTGACCCTTGGCTCAATGGGACAGTGGGTCAGTGATGCTGGGCAGCACCGCAGGGATTCCCTTACACACATAGAGTGTGACCCTGTCTGAACTACAGCTTCAACTCTCACTTGAGATCCTTCCAATTCAGTCACTTGAACTCTCCAGGCTCATCTGTCCAGTTCAACCCACAACGTCCATCAATCACGCTTATTAAATCTCCCTAAAAGCTGATGGGTGCTATGATTTGTTATCTCTTTTTGTCTTGGCAGCTCGATTGGGCATGGGTTCCCCTTGTGTTTTCTATAGCCACCCACACTGATATCCAGCACCAGGACAGAGATGGAGCTCTGGAGAGTTCACACTGATTCACCTCCTGCTGGAGAACTGGGAGGGATCAGGCTGGGAAGAGGAGGGATCGTGGCCCTATCACTTACATTGCACATCTACGCGAATGGACTTGATGGCAGCCACCCCCACCCCGTTCTCAGCTTTGCAGTAGTAGCGTCCGCCCTGCACCCTCTGGATGTTGGGGATGCGAAGAGTCTCATTGAAGATGGAGGTCTCCTGGAACTTGTCAGAAGCGCTGCCTGCTGTCTTGGTCCAACGCACCTGCAGAGGGCGACAATCAGGGAAATTTATGAGCAGAACAAAATAAGTGAATGCTTCATTTAGTAATAATTTTCTATGATAAATAATATATGTCAGTAATTTTTATTTGATTTACAAGTTGAATCAACAAAATTAACTTTGTTTTATTTCATTTAAGCTTGATTGACAAAGAATAGGCACAGGATCCAAATCATTTTATGCCACAGATGTTCAGCGAGGTGTCCCATTTACTGTTTTCAGATGTAGATCCATTAAAAATTGTATCTCCTTAACAATTATTAAATTGTGGATGGATGGATGATGAATGCCTGATAGATAAATGGATGGACAAGTGGATAGAAAGAAAAAAGGACGGACAAATGGATAGATAGATAAATGGATTGACGAATGAATATTAAGAAAAATTAAAGAACGAATGGATAGAAAGAAAGAATCTATGGATGGATGAAAAATAGACGGATAAATGAATAGAATGAACAATGGGTGGCTGGATGGAAGGGTTAGTCCAAAAACAAAAAAGAAATGCATAGTGAAAGAACAAACAATATATAAATGAACAAATGATAGAAAAACTAGCAAATAAATGCTAGTGACGAGGGATGGATGGATGGATGGATGGATGGATGGATGGATGGATGGATGGATGGATGGATGGACGAACGGACGGACGGAAGTATGGATGGACCAAGAGAAAAACAGATGATGGATGGATGGATGAACCAAGAGAAAGACAGATGATGGATGAATGGATGGATGTACCAAGAGAAAGACAGATGATTGATGGATGGATGGATGGGCCAGGAGAAGACAGATGATGGATAGATGGATGGACCAAGAGAAAGACAGATGATGGATGGATGGATGGATGGATGGATGGGCCAAGAGAAAGACAGATGATGGATGGATGGATGGATGGATGGATGGATGGATGGATGGATGGATGGATGGATGGATGGGTCAAGAGAAAGACAGATGACGGATGGATGGACCAAAAGAAAGACAGAGGATGGATGGATGGATGGTAGGATAGACCAAGAGAAAGACAGATGATAGATGGACCAAAAAAGACAGGATGGATGGATGGGTGGATGGATGGATAAATGGACCAAGAGAAAGAAAAATAGATGATGGATGGATGGATGGATGGATGGATGGATGGATGGATGGATGGATGGATAGATGGACGGACGGACGAAGAGAATTACAGATGATGGATGGATGGATGGATGGACCAAGAGAAAGACAGATGATGGATGGATGGATGGATGGATAGGTGGATGGGTGCATAGATGGATGGATGGATGGATGGATGGATGGATGGATGGATGGATAAATGAATGGAGGAATGGATGGACCAAAAGAAAGACAGAGGATGGATGGATAGATGAATGGATGGACGGATGGACCAAGAGAAAGACAGGATGGATGGATGGATGGAAGGAAGGATGGACCAAGAAAATGACAGATGAAGGATGATGGATGGAAAGAAAAACAGACGGATGGATGGAAGGATGGATGGATGGATAGATGGATGGATGGATGGATGGATGGATTGATGGATGGATGGACCAAGAGAAAGACAGATGATGGATGGATGGATGGATGGATAGGTGGATGGGTGCATAGATGGATGGATGGATGGATGGATGGATGGATGGATGGATAAATGAATGGAGGAATGGATGGACCAAAAGAAAGACAGAGGATGGATGGATAGATGAATGGATGGATGGATGGACCAAGAGAAAGACAGGATGGATGGATGGATGGAAGGAAGGATGGACCAAGAAAATGACAGATGAAGGATGATGGATGGAAAGAAAAACAGACGGATGGATGGAAGGATATAATGACAGAAAACAGATGCATGAATATAAAGAACAATGATCGAATGGATGGATGGATGGATGGATAGATGGATGGATGGATGGATGGATGGATGGATGGATGGATGGATGGATGGATGGATGGATGGATGGATGGATGGATGGATGGACGGATGGACGGATGGATGGATAGACCATCCATGGATGGACCAAGAAAAAAATAGAATGGACAGATGGATAAAAAATGTAAATGGATTGAGTGATGATGTGTAGAAGGATGTAATGGAGTAAATGATATAAAGACAGATGGTGAATGATTGAACAATGGGTGGAGACAATAAATCGACAAACAGACAGACAGACAAATGGATGAAAAGGACAACAAACAAATGGATGAAGCAAATTTCAAAAACATGGATTAGTGGAAAAGCAGACTCTCTAGACTTTAGTCCAAGACTCCTAATATGGTTTCACACTTTGCTGTAGAAATGAACTCTTTGACGTGTCTATAAATAATACTGCAAACACAGAGAAGATTCTTTTCGTCAACTAAACCTGTGAATCTACAGTAAAACTCCATATGCAGAAGACTAACATAGAGCCAAAGGTCATAAAGATAATCAACTAGTACAGTAGGTACTGTAAGTTTGACCTGCATGCAGGCTCAGCGGTCAGACTCAGTTATTTTAATCACACACTCATCCCTCTCAATCACTCTTTTGATTCCTTCACATGAGTCTTTGCATTGAGTGTGTAAGGTCAAGTGAAAATCACAAAGTAAAGCCGGTGTAATCTCCACCACCTCTCCACCTCTGGACATCAGTAAGCTGCTTCCATTAAAGCACGGTCACCTTTGAACGGGCAGTACACGGGTGAGCGGGCCATTGTAGTTAGCAGCACTGGGGGCGGTGGGAAGGTTAGGACGTACGTGCAAAGGATTATGGGATTACAGAGACCTGTGTAAACGAGGAGCTTTGTGTTTATTCAGGTTTATTTGCCTGTGGATTTGGGACGCAGCTGCTGTTCATTTATCAGGTGTGGCGACAGAGAAATTAACAGAGGAAGAGACAGAGAGAGAGATACTGCAGGGACTTACTGACCCTCTTGGTGGCAAAGGACAGAAAAGCTAGTCGAAAGCTGTTTGATGGGGCAAGTTTACCACAAAGTTGAGCCACTTTTTATGTGTAGATTAAAGGAAAGAATCTGCTGATTTGTCCTTAAAACACAACTCAGATCACCTTCATAAAGAGAAAAACTGTTTATCGACTTTATCTTGTCTTCAAGAAAATCTTTTACTGAAGCAAATGCGAAAACATTAATTTTCCTTTTGTTTAGTCCCTGATTGATCAGGGGTAACCACGACGGAATGAACCAGCAACTACTCTGGCATATGTTTTACACAGTGGATGCCCTTCCAGATGGTACCCAATATATATATATATATATATATAGCCCCCTTAAAGTATTAGCCCCCCATTTGTTTTATTTCCCAGATTTCTGTTTAATGAAGAGATTTGTTTCAACACATTTCTAAACATAATAGATTTAATAACTCATTTCTAATAACTTAATATTAATTTATTTATAATAATTTATTTAATAATTTATATACAATAATACAATAATTTATTTCATCTTTGTCATGATGACAGTAACTAATATTTGACTAGATATTTTTCAAGACACTTTTATACAGCTTAAAGTGACATTTAAAGGTTTGACTAGGTTAATTAGGTTAACTAGGTAGGTTGGGGTAAATAGGCAAGTTATTTTAAAACGATAGTTTGTTCTGTAGACTATTGAACAAAATATATAAAGAGGCTAATAATTTTGACCTTAAAATGGCTTTTAAAAAATTAATAACTGCTTTTATTTCTAGCCGAAATAAAACAAATGAGACTTTCCCCAGAAGAAAAAAATATTATCAGACATACTGTGAAAATTTCCTTGCTCTGTTAAACATAATTTGGCAAATAATTAAAAAAGAAACAATCCAAAGGGGGCTAATATTTCTGACTTCACCAGTATATAATTTTTGACTTTTAAAAGAAAATAGATATAACTAAGTGAAACAATTTGGGTTTTTGATATAATTGTATAATATTTCATTGTGATAAAACCTACAGAAACTATTGAACTGTTTTACAATCTGATGAACATGTTTAAATATTGACATAGCTTCATGATTAAGATTATCTTTACCTCAAAGAACTTTAAAAACAAAAAAATAAATACATACATGAAAAATTACTTTTCAATAAATAAAAAATGTATTTTGTGATTCATGTGTTTTTAGGATTTATTTATGCCTTTGAATTGCATTATAAGATCAACAACAACTTTTAATTAAAAAAAAAAATGAAGAAAAAAAAACAGTTTGAAGTAATATATTGTCTGTATTAAAGTTGTAAATTAGTCCAATAACCTGGTAATAAATAGGTAATATATATATATATATATATATATATATATATATATATATATATATATATATATATATATATATATATATATATATAAGAGCTGGGCGTCACAGTGGTGTAGTGGGTAGCGATGTCACTTCACAGCAAGAAGGTCACTGGTTGAGCCTCAGCTTTCTGTGTGGGGTTTGCATGGTCTCCCTGTGTTGGTGTGGGTTTCTTCCGGGTGCTTCCGGTTTGCCTTACAGTACAAACCAGAGGTGGGACCAAGTCATTGTTTGGCAAGTCACAAGTAAGTCTCAATTCATTGCCCTCAAGTCCCGAGTCAAGTCCCGAGTCAAGACAGGCAAGTCCCGAGTCAAGTCCCAAGTCAAAGGCAACAAGTCTCAAGTCAAGTCCAAAGTCCTATAGTTTGATTTTCGAGTCTTTTCGAGTCTTTTTAACAGAAAAATAAAATTTAAACAGATTATGTATGGCTGTAAGATCTGTATTTATTAAACAAACCTTTTTTTTTAATGAAAGAACATTGCTTAGATATATAAAGATACAAATGTAATTTTCTGAAAAAGTGCTAAACAGTGCTGCGTCTCGCTACACAGCCTATTGCACAAGAATGAGTTCCACCAAAAAAAGAGTCCATTTTGCCTCACATCACACAGAAATTGCAGGTCTACTGCTGTCTAGTTCATTAAGTTTAGTTGTGCTATGTTATGTCTTCAGTGATCAACTTGTGATTAACTAAAACTACATAAAC